TCTACGATTTGGAGACATTTTAAGAACAGAGACATCCTTAAAATGTATGCAAATCGTAGAAGACTAATTCACTCTAGAATATTTGTCTACAGTTATGAGCAGTTACAGTTTTGACAGTTACAGTTATAACAGTTACACAGTTATGACAGTTACAGTTAACTGGTAAAAAACTGTAACTGGTGCATACCTAATTACTACTAATGTTCTTGACTTCTCATCTAATCACTTGCATGTCGTGTTCTTATAGAAATAATCTCAAGCGCTCTATATAATATTTGTTTTGTCTTTCTCTTTTAGATAACCGTCTCCATCGTTCTTTTATATTGTTTACGATGCTTGAATATCGTTAATTTTCCAAAGTTATCTTTAAGTGTTGCAGAAAAAGTATGTCACTAAGCTCTCTATCAGTTGTCAAGCTTTTAACTTGTTTATTTATATATTCCAGAAGTCAAGTACTGAAAAGAAAACATTTTTTGACACTTAGGTTTTCATATATATTTGAGATTATCACTTGATTCTGAAGCGCTTAGAGATGTTGGCATGAGTCCTTTAGCGATAAAAACATATAATAGTTTGCCATCGAGTTTTTATCAGAATTTGTGAATTGTTATAAAATTAAAGATTCTTTGCGACTATTCTTTTCATATGTTCGTTGTATTCATCATTTGATTTTACACGATGTGAAACTCTAGCTCTTGAGACAAACTAGTGAAGGAGAATTATTAAAGAAAGCCTATTTACCCACCAAATACCAGGAAAATCTCTAAATGATGTAAAATTTAAATTAAATATCTTTACGTAAGATTATTATTAGCTCTTTCTTGTTCCTTTTTTCGATCGATAGTCTATCAATTGGTGATCACATTATTAGCTTTTTCTTGTTCTTTGTCTATTGACGTTCTATCAATTACCAACCATCTATCTATCTATATATATAAAGAAGAATGTTTGTCTGTTCTTTATGCATTTGGTCCCTGTAAGAGCTAGCGTCACCAAACTTTCCATGGGATACCCTTAGGTCCAGAGGAAGGTCGAGATGGGGTGAAGATGAGAAACTTCTTGCTTTTCTCATGGCCAACTTTACGTGGCGTGTTCAAGAGTCGGAACTGGGAAGAATTTGTATACTTTTGCCCCTGGTGCGAAAACCAGGAACGTTGTGTATCAAACAGCTTTGCAATAAATATTGTATTTCATTGGACACAGTCATTTTTTAATAAAAGAAGCCGATCATATAAAAAGAACATTGAAAAGGATAAAAATGTTTTTAAAAAGTTTAAAATGATGAAAACAAAAAAGTTCAAAAGGGAAAGTGATCCGAGCGCATTTTGCGATATCGAAGTCCGATAACTGATAGGAGACCATAACGATGTCTTTTTCTAATATGTCAAGTATATAATATCAAATTTTCCCGAGCAACGCCGGGTACCTCAGCTAGTACTATATATAGAGAGATTGTATTTCGCTTTTCTGTTTTTCCTGATCATGATAAGTGCCTCTTATCGAAAGCTTGAATAAACCATAAACTGATTTTTGTTAAAAATCTACCATGACATCAGTTTTATACCCAATATTATTTAAATTCATTGTATGATTTTAGGTTATGCCATTACCATTGGTATTTTTTGGTAATCTATTATTTGGACTTGGTAGTACACAAGCAGTTAGGTAGACACTCTTGTCGTGTGTTTTCAATGAATACCTCTGTTTTTTTTGTCCTTTTAGTTTACCCATGTTTACCGTATTACGTCGTTTTTCAATATGGCTAACAATGATGGGAGAACAAATATTTTTGAAGTAATTTGTAACAGAATTCTGTGTAATTGATTAAGTGGTTAAACAATTGAAAAGCTCATCGTAAAGATCTTATCAAGAGTCAGATTAATCTTAAAACAAACTCTAAATATATGTTCTTTGATCTAATTGACTAACATCATATAAAATTGATATTTGATTGAGATATGAACAGCATGAGCTTATTTTTATACTGTTAAAACAGTTGTACAAGAATTGTTGTTTTTTATACTCTATGAACAAAATCCCTAGTTTTTTGCAGAAAGAGGCATGAAGAAATTCTGTCATCTTAGAAATTGCAACATTTTAAACAAATCTTCCTATCGTTATGTTTTTACTTAACACTGTTTGTTTTTTCTTTTTCAGTGATAAGCCCAATGTTAAAGTTCAGTGTAGTGTATATTTAATGTTACTAGGAGCCGGTATCGCTGCTAGGTAAGTTGTAATTGTTTTTCTTCTTGTTTGATGATCAATACTAGATAGATAAATGCCGAATGCAGCTAGAAGAGAAATATTTCATTTAAAAAGTTAAATTTTTATGTAAAAACATTTTTTGAGAAACTCTTCCTTAAAAAAATCAAAAGGAACGAAAAATTAAAGTTTTATATTTGAACAAAGTATGATTTTTTTTACTTACTTTTTTTACTCTATCCAACATTGAGGATAAAGTTAGACGTAAATTTCTAGCGTTATTTTTCTCAGTATAAAGGTTGAATTAGGTATTAATAAGACAATTCAGTCAATGTTCTTGACAAGATTAGTTTAAACATTTTCATAAAGTTTTTGACAATTTTCTCTTGGAAATTATCAAATATTGGTTAAGGAAGAATTATTTTGTTTTTTTCCAGTGATGATATAGCGTTTAATTTTCACGGTTATGGTTTGTTGTTGTTAAATAATATATGCACAGCGTGTAATGGAATTGTTATGAAGCGTAAATTATCATCAAAAGAATTTAATCACAATGGACTATTATTTTATAATTCATTATTTATATTATTTCCAGCAATAACACTAGCTTACATGACAGACGATTTTGATAAAGTAAGACAATGGAAGAGAATCATATTTCTATTTTAGTTAGTAGTTGCTGTTTTGACACAAAATTTCACAAAAATGAGGAAATTAAGAGTATTTTGTCTTGCGGTTACCATTATTGGTATAGGATAAAGATCTGTCAGTTTCGAATAGGTCGATACCATTTCTGCTGCTAACAATCTTTAAAAATAGTTATCCATCTTTTCACTAATCGTCATCCATTACTCTGAAGAAACGACAAGTCCTGTGTTTAAATAACGACCCAGTCAAGTTATGTAATAATCCTGGGCAAATTATTCAGGATCACTTGTACAATAGCATACTAGTTCACTATGAAATGTAAGTTAGAGGACTTCTTATGTGTTTACTGAGTATATGATGAAGTCAATATTAATATGAATTTTAAATTTTTAAAAGATGGTACACAATTAGGGAGTGACACTTTACTTTTATTTACAAGGTAAAGAAAAATTGACTATTTTACTTTACTAAACTAAAAAGTAAAAACAAACATTTTATTTACTTTTTATAAAGTAAAACAAAAAAATTCAGTTTACATTACTTTATAAAAGTAAAGTAAGAAACCTATTCTACTTTACTTTTCATGATAATAGTAAGAGTTCAACAATCATTATTTTAATGCTTTTATTTAAAACAGGAACTTTCGATTACAACTGTAATCATCGTCAACTACTAGACTGAAAAACACTCACAGTATATATATATATGTTCATTTTAAACTAATGATTGTTAAACTCATACAATTAATCGTTTCATTTATGAAATTATTATCAACAAACAATGTGGGAATAGATAATAGTAAATCTTTTTTGGCATGAGAGTAATATAATATAAAGTTAAAATTTTTGTTTTTCCTTTTTACTTACTTAATTCGACAAAATAAAGAAAGTAAAAGTAAAAGTGCTACCACTATGCACAATTCGCATTTCTTTTTAATATCAGCAGGAAAATTTCTTGTAAATCACAGTGCTGGCATGTACAAGTGTAGATATGAAGAGACGGACTATTTCTACAAAATAATTTCAGAATATTGACAAGAGGATATTGTCTTTATTCTATACTAAGTTTGCCTGATACACACAGTTATGGTTAAAACATATAATTTACTAGACAATCGATAAACGAATAAGTTCTACGTTTTGTATACGGTATTGTATTACTTTGCATTTTAGCTTCGTTCATTTGACAAATATTTTGATACTGGTTTTATGTTTGCATTTTTTTTCTCGTCCATAATGGGTTTTATTTTAAACTATTCAACATTATTATGTACAAATTATAATTCACCATTAACGACGACGGTTGTTGGTGCGCTTAAAGTAAGTTTTTTTTTAATTTTGTTTTGAATTAATAAAAGAGAAGTAGAGTTATATTTATGACAAGAACATAAATAATATCGGACAGATTTAATTGTTTGCTTTTACACACTATTATTAAATCCTCCCCCCCAAAAAAACAAGATAAAAAAAGAACGTTATTCATCTACGTTTATTTCTAGAACATGGCAGTGACCTATGTTGGAATGTTTGTTGGTGGAGATTATATATATTCAACCGTCAATTTTATTGGACTCAATGTCAGGTAAGACGATACCAACCTTTGACAGCGTTCCTTGAACGTGAACACTAAAGCATCGGTGAACGTGAACTTCTTTTTATATGAACGATGTTCATATTGTCTGAAGTAAATATAAAATTCTGTTCTTTTACCGTACCAGGAATATATATATTTCTGCTTGATTTTATCTGATCAATGGAAACTCAATGTGAACAATCAGATGGTCTACTCAGGACAGTGACCAGATAATTGCAATGTAAAAAGGATACCCCTTTATTCTCTGATCAAGGCATTAATTCTTCCAAGAACAGATGACCGATTTCCCGACCAGGAGACTACTTTTTTCCTGCAGTAAAACCGAAATTCCTTGGTCCAAACCATTTCTGTAGCTACATACTTTTTCCTTTGTTATCGTAACCCATTTAGAAGCTGATGAGCGTCGATTTTTCACTAAATACAATTGGCAATGGAGAAAGCTGTTTCATTTGGTATACTACTAGGTGAAATTTCTATATAACATTTTGCAATACTATTCATTCCACACAAGATCAACACACTCACGTTCAAAGTAAACGCTAAAAAGGAACGCTGAACATTTGCAGCCCTGTTTAAAATAAAAAGGAAAAAAACAACTCTTTCACATCTATAAAATGCAGAGAAAATAAGAAAATATTTTCTCGATTTAACTGTCGTACTATTTAAACTATGAAAATATTTTCTTCACTTATTTTTAGTGTTTTTGGCAGTATTGTTTATTCATGGGTAACATTTACTCGAAAAGTGATACCATCACCTTCGATTAGAAAAGGTAGTATTGTATAATTGAAGAGACTATTCAAATAGATGGGCTTTAGTTTATGCTATATTTTTGGTGATGAGCTATTTAATGAATGAGAGAATTTTCAATAATAGTCAGATTTATTTTCTCTACTAATAATCGCTACTTATTTTAGTCACATTTGTTTTATTTTGTTTTTTCTTTTGGTTTTTTTTTGGTTTTTAAATATTTCATTTCAGTTGTAAAACAGTATTCTGTAAAAATAGAATGTTTTGCTAGTAATACGTATCGAATAATGACTATCCTATTTCAATTCATACTCTTAGCACTCGTTGTATTTTCTTCACTGAAAAACGAATTACTAACTAATTACAAATTTATTAAAATTGTTTTTTAAATTATTCATATAATTAAAGAATTTTTGATCCTGATACCTTTTTTGTCTATAATCGTTTTTCTCGACATATATAAACAATTTCTCCGTCCTATGATATTTATATGACAGTAATTGATGATGTAATTTTAATAATCTCTCTTTTTCTCATTTTAAAATCTATAAACATATATCACTTCAATTTCAAAATTTTATCCATCATCTCTTAAAATTTTTTAAATTGAAAATTTTCTCATTCGTGGTGCTTAGCTTTTGTAATAAATTGTTTCTTGTTGTTTTTTTATCTATACATCTATATCTCTTTTGCTCTATTTATTGTTGGTGTTAAAATTGTTCTTGTTAAAATGTGTGATTTAATGAAATATTAGCAATGCAATATATCATGCATGCATGTGATTTGTGCTTACCCCTCTCTCTCTCTCTCATCTTTCAATTTAATCGACTTAATTTGTCTTAAATAAAAAAGAGGACATGCAAAGAAGAATTGTGCGTTTTCTTTTGTTGATTGCTTTATATCACTACGTTTCTTCATGACACCATTGATCACACCATGGAAACGTAGTATATATCTTATATTTTTACAGTATTATGATTTAATGAGCCAGTAATTCAAATTTGAAAATGGTTTCTAATGTATAAGCCGAAAGTTCTTGAACAATGTTGTACCAACATTTTCTCCCTTACTTTTGAAAACTTTTTGATTGCATCATATATCAAAATGTAGTCTGAGTTCTGTTCTTTCAATTGATGTAATAGACTTAATAGATGGTCTAGATAAAAAAAAGATTTTATTTATATGATGTGAACCCCTTGTTTTATAAATTCGATCGGCTACTAGAAAAGTCGACCGATCCGCAATGAAAGTGTTATAAAATGTTTTTGTATGGTCAAAACGAGCAGAAAACTGCGGTATTTTTGAAGTTTCAAAATAACTTGGAGTTTAGCAGTAAAGAAGAATTGCGTAACATCATGATGAACGGACAATTGTCATTTGATTTGGTGCAGAACACACTATTTTTCTTCGCCTAAACAAGGTAGAATAAAGGATTGTGGTATATAAAACCATGGTGGCAAACGGTTTTGTTTAAAATATGTTCTAGAGCTACTTTTTATTTTCGTAAAAAACAAAACAGTACTTTTCTTTCTTCTTTCTTAGTGAGATTTGTCCAATACTATTGGACTCCCGCACATTTCTGTTCACTCGAAATGTTCGTGTTTTTCGACCCAAATATTCGTAGCGAAATTGATTACACCAATCGGTAAAACAGTGTCCTGATTCTATTATTTTGATATATAATGGAAGCAAAAATCCTTTGAAATCAGAGAGAAAACTTCAACGCTAAGTTATGCAAAAACGTTTGACTTATCCGTTCTGAAACCATGTACTTTATGTATTTAAAAGCAAATTAAGTCGAATTATTTATTTTTTGTGACTTTGAAGTTTTATAATCGACATTTTCTATCTTGTTGTTCTTATATCTATGATAGACTAAAATAAATGTGCTTTTATGTTGTTCGTCACACTTGGTGATGATTGCAGTGCACGGCTTCTGTTGCTGCTGCTTGAAGAATGATTAGCGTTTTTCTTTTTTTGTGCTACAAAATAAATATTGAATAAAATGTTTTAGTTTATTGGATTGACTGTCAGTTAAAAGAATGTATTATCATTCAGATGGTAGGTAATTAATTAAAGAGAAGAAGTTGTTTATTTATTTAGACAAGTGACATATGATCAAGAACACAACTTGTGATAATTACTTAGGGTTGACCAAAAGTTCGTAGAAAGATGATGCTCGCTCACCTCACACCGTGATCAAAACCTTTGATCAACCCTAAGTATATTCTGATAGCGCTTGAATTTCTCTATCGTCCGATATATTGTCTACTGTCCTGCATTTATCTATTGCAAAAATAACTTGAGTACAATGAAGATATCCTCAACTGACAAGTACGAAAATTCGCTGCTTTTTATGCTTTTTCAAATTATAGACACTATGGAAATAAATCTTTCTAAAAGAAATTAAACATTCTGATAGAGCTTCAAATTCTCTATCATCCTGTATATTTTTGTCTTATCTTGCATTTATGTGCTGAAGAATAATTTGACTATCATGCAAGCACGCTTGTCAATTGAGGGTGTCTTCATTGTGTTCAAGTTATTTTTGCAATAGATAAATGCAAGACAGTAGACAAATATATAGGACGATAGAGAATTTCCAGCGCTATCAGAATATACTTAGGGCTGACCAAACGTTTTGATCACGGTGTGAGGAGGGGAGGGCGGAATCGCCGTTCTACGAACTTTTGGTCAACCCTAAGTATTTTTAGAAAAAGTTACCCTGCCTTGCTTTATTTTAATTCACTCGTTGCTTGTTGTTTTAAATAAAGGGTATAGACAGTTAGATCAGATACGAAAATGATGTATCTGATCTCAATTTCGTACTAAGAATAAGGGACAAAATTAATCGATTAGGAACCCCCTTAGATGATCTTATGATATTTTTTTATGATTTAATACAAATGACTTATGTGATATCCTCCATGTTGAATTCCGACCATTGAAATGGTGCTTTCTGTTGGTGATAGATATTTTTAATTACTACATCGAGAATATTTTGAATTCTAACTTTGATCGTAATCATTCATGAAAACATTTTCTAGCACAGGTAGAGGATGAAATTAGAGATGGGCGCCCTTACCCTACCCTGCAGGGTAGGGCTAGAGCTTCAAAGTCACATGGTAGGTAGGGCCAGGGCTTCGTCTAAAAAAGATATATCGTCAGTGAAACATTGAGGTCGATTTTAAACTCTTTATTTTATCGGATGCAAGACACCCATTTTTGGTGCAGTTGGCAATATAAAAAAACAACAACAAAGGTTGGACGAAGAAACGGTCGATGACATTATGTTGCTACGAAATTTTAAAAAAGAATTTTTATCAATATGATTCATTTATTTAAAACATAAAGAAATAATTGCAAATGAAAAATTTTCAGATTTTCAAAAGGTAGGGTACGGCCAGGGCTCAACAACTTTTCACAGGATAGGGCAAGGGCTCCGTAAACAGTTGCCATGTACATTTCTAGATGAAACCGCCAACGACAAAATGATTGCGAATCGTTTTCGCGCTCTCTTAGCTTCTTGTGTTTGTTTGATTGTTGCATGATAGTATAGTGTGATAGCCCGGCCCATAACGTTTTCACATGATATATTTACTTTTATTTATTTTGTGTTATTTTCATCATTTTTTTGGTTTGAAGATTGAATGCAAAATGTATTCATTAAGTGAAGATAATCGCTAGTATATCATCAACACGTGGACAAAAGATCCCATCAATGTCTCACGAGTATCACGTGCCCTCAATTATCAAGTGAGTACAGTATACGACATTATGCTATGCTACCATCTATATCAACATAGGCATTATCTATTATGAGATGAGAATTCTAATTAGTCTTAATTTAATTGAAATTGAAAAGAATCTTTTGAGGTGACTCCGCCGCTGCTAACTGGAAAACTTTTGTTACATGCCGCCACCGATTTTTCAACAGGCGCACAGGCCTACTCACATAGTAAAAATAAGGCTATAAGCCTGATTATTATTTCAAATATATCAAGTTGTAGTTGGAGAGTTCCTCTAGAAAACTATGTATTTTTTTGATGCATGTGTCAAATAAAATGATCGACTGAGAATTTTTCGACCACAAAAATTAAAGTTGCCTTAACTCAGCAATCATCTAACGATGACAGCTAAAAACATTATTTTCATAATCAGTACAGTTTACTATACTATTGACGATGTGTTTCGCTAAAATCTCAAAGTGACACTTCCTCGATGTTGGATGTTTCCCTCATTAGAGTTTACCGGCTTGTCCACGTAACGCGACACTTCAGACATTAAGTATTTATTTCAAAATCTTGCATAAACGTTTATCGCATGTTGTAGAGCATGTTCGGAAGTGTACGAAAATATATTTTCCTATTCAAGAAATTATTTTTGTGAGTCTTAAAAAATGTATACATTAATCCTCAATTATCACACCGTTGGTTGATAGCAATTTTTTCTTTTCTACTTCGAAACCAACCGTACACATTAATGAGAAGCTTCGAACTCACGCTTTCAGATGTTCTCTAAACTATCATAGGCGGCCTTTCTTTTGGCAAAAGAACCAACTTTTGTCCTGTCCTTAACCTTGAGATATTCCTAATACAGTACTTGATCAATATCGCTGTCACACCGTTACGAAAAGCCCTTATTTTAAAACTTTGATGAGTCCTTTACGAAATACCAATGAATAAAGTAGTGGACTATTACTAACTTTTTACGGTGATTCTGATGCACTACTTTTTTCTGAAAAATGTTTCATCTGAAGGGAGATAAACATAACGGTGTGACAAAAACTTCATTTATGGCGCTATTCCGAGCTCATATATAATTCAACCATAATTTCGATAGTACCAATGTCAGACAGTCTCTGATTACAAATTAAACCTGATTTGGCCTTTAGTTTACTTATCTACTGATAAATCTTCCAAAAAATCTCTAATGTTTCTTTCCAGCTACGGTTAATTTTAACCATTGTAGCAACACATTCAGAATCAATATCAGATTCCGCATTGAATGACATGTTGTTCAGATTTTTTGAACAG